TATTTGTTCAGATATTCTATTAGTTATAGGTCTAAGTGATTTCAAATATGTATTTTTTACGACTAGAGTGTATCTAAAATGTTTTTGAGAAAATAAATTGTTTTAGAAGTAACTAGTTTCGTCATGTTATAAAGGCATATTTTGGTACAAATCTTGAAGTGGGCCAACTGAAGTGGGAAGCGGCTCGTAGTTTACGGCCTCTTTGCAGAGATACAGTTAATTTTTTCTAATGCATACGTAATATCTCTTAAGTTACTTGAGTAACCGCATGATCTAGATGAAACCGTGTATATCGTCGGTGGGCATTATGGGATTTAAGATGCAATGATTATATCCACCTCAGTTACCTGAGAGGCATATCATGTTTTAATCAGGTATTTAGGTGTTTAAATAATCACGATACTGGCACTGGTTTATTTATGAGTAATCAAGGGATCTCCAGACAGAAAGATATTTTGTCTTGCATCCAGACAATTAATTTAAGAGTTTGAAGCTAAAAAAATCATCAAATAAAGAAACTCCTAGAATTAAACAGAAATATTAGAATACCCTTGGATCATCCAAGATTTATTCATCAAGATCTGAGAAAAATAAAAAAGTTCCAGATTTGTATTGGAATATATCTACAATATAAGACTGGTATAGAATTTAATTCCTACGAATTAAAATCTTACAGTTTTATTATTTTACATGAGTCCCAACGATAAAGCTGTGTCGATTTAGGAACATTTTACACGTTTCAGTGTTTCAGTTTATTTCTGAACGTTTCAGCATTCAGTTTAATTTTCCTAGTTACGGACTGTCAAATTGCTCATAAGTTATCAAGCGGATTTTTTTAAATAAAGGTCCCTTGATCGTACCCACAAACAAACTCATGGCGTCTCAATTAAATTCCAAAGTAACTGGTTAAATTTTATTAGCGCTGCGCCTGAGATGTTTGGGTAGGATATAACCAATACAAATTGAGTTCATTAATGCATATCGTCGATTTAAAGAGTTTCACCTAAATCACTTAAACAATTTAAGTGGAATAAAATATACATATGTACTAAAAGAAATTAATCAGAACCTTGTACCTTGTACGAATCCCAGATATAAAATACACAAGCTGGCATGCATTTTTGTGTTCAGCTTAATGAGGTCAACTAGCTAGTATATTATTAACCTGAATAATTGTATCAATAATAAACTGAAGAAAATATGACGTCAAGAAGATTGACTCTATACTTCCACGCTTGCGAAACAACTACTAGTCCAATTTTCCAAAAAGGCATCAAAGTGACGTAGGTTTTGTGAGAACCACTAATTGTATATTGGTTTTCATGATTTTTCCTCAGATTACAGTAATGAGCAAGTCCGTACGCCCCATTTTTTTTTTTCGCTCTGATGTAAACATGTTTTTAAAACAATGTTTGGTACCTAATTATAATACCTATTGATGCGTACTATATAATATTACCTCACGAAATCAAATAACCTCATACAATTCCACTCCAAGCATAATACTTATATATACAGGGTGACTTTGAAGTTGAGTCATTAATTTTCAGATAGTGATTGTAGAAGGAAGATAAACCAAAATATGTGTGTAAAAATAAAAAAAAAAATTAAAAAAAAATGTTACCCTTGTTTTATAAAGTATCCTCCCGACAAGTATTTCAGTGCGGACCTGTATTTGATCGTGCGGTCTTGGAGCACCGGCATCCCCTGTGAGGTTTTAAGTCACCTGATTCACAAGCCCTTTGTACTGCATTAACAAAGGCACGAGGGGTTGGTTGCACTCGATTGGAAACCGATTTTGTAAAGACTCCCCCCGTAATAAGAATCATGTCGACAAGTTCAGCATTTTCGTAAACATGTGCCAATTTTTATTTCGTTTGAGCCACGCAACAAACACCACTATTCACTCACGCGTTACCGACTGAATCCAACTAAAAACATCGTGATAAGCGTTTCAAATTCTTTCGCTTTTTTGTTTCCCTATGCGATGAACCGATGCGGATTATATCCGTTGTCGCCAAACACGAGCACATAATATTATTATTGAGACAGGGCGGTACTCAAACTTCTAAAGGGCTGTAACTTTGTTAATTTAATTTTACCAGAAAAATGGTAAAGAAAAAAACATTTCTTTTGATCAGATCTACTCACTGTTAAAATAAATGACTCAACTTCGAAGTCACCCCTGTATATACTAAGTGACATAATAATCTGAACACCCAGTTTAAATGGTTTTATTTTACTAAAAGTTGGTGAATGTATTTATCTTACTGTAAATAACAAGTGAACAAATTTTCAGCCTTATCAGTTGGACATTCCGATTTTTATACTGCTTTTTTTAATTCACTAACGCTCTAAAAATGAATATTTCAGCCGCAGTAAAGAATCAACGTTGGCGGATTTTGGTTCTTGACATCCTTTACGATTGGTTACGATGCCCAGAGTACGGAGACCTGAACGATTTCGTCAACTTAGTGAGTTTGATAGGGGCCGTATAGTGGGACTTCGGGAAGCTGGACTTTCTTTTCGGGCAATTGCAGTTAGAGTGCAAAGAAGTGTAGACACTGTGGTTAGGTGTTGTCAGGCATGGCTTCGAGAAGACCGTACGCAAAGAGCAAGGGGCAATGGACGCCGCCGTAGAACAACAGACCGTGAAGATCGCGCGCCTAAGATTATTGGCCTTAAGGGACCGTTTCTCCACTACCAGGTCCATTGCAAATGAATGGTTTGCAGAACACGGAAGACCTATTGGCATGCGAAGTGTTTACCGACGACGAATGAGAAGTTTTGGCTTGTTTTCATACCTGCCACACTGGGTCCTCCCTTTAACTCGAGAACACCGACGTAATCGCCTTGAGTGGTGCAGACAACGGCCACTCTGGGATCAGGAATGGAACAGTATTGTCCTTAGTGACGAGTCTCGATTTTGTTTAGGCATGCGCGATGGTCGTGCCAGGTTAGAAGGCGACGTGGGTGAAAGGAGGAATCCACAGTTTTTTGTGAAAGACATATTCATCACACTGTTGGAGTTATGGTTTGGGGTGCTATAGCTTATGGTTCCAGGTCACCTTAATCTTCATCAGAGGTAACATGAACGCGCAGCGTTATATCCACGAAAGTTCTAGAACCCCATCTTTTACCCTATCTTGACACCCTGGCAGATCCAAATTTCTAACAAGATTAATGCCCGACCACCATGTTGCAAGAGTCACAATAGACTTCTTTAAACATAATGATGTCACATTGTTACCATGGCCACCAAGATCTCCCGACTTATCCCCAATGAGCACGTGTGGATCTGAGGGGTAGGAGATTGCTCAATTTGCAACGTCATCCTCAGACTCTAGAAGCACTTCGAGAGGAGTTGGTGGTGCCTGGAATGAGATACCACAGGAGAACATTGACCACCTGATCAGAAGCATTGCCTAGGCGCGTTGGAGAATGTGTAGCACATCAGGGTGCATCCACACACTATTAAAGGTCAAGGGGCTTTAAAGCAGTGCATATCATTTTGAAATTTTTATCATTTACTTATTATGCTTCATTAAGTACTTATACAAAATTTTATTAAAATAAAACCATTTAAACTGGGTGTTCGGATTTATATGTCACTTAGTATATACTTCGAAGTTGAGTCATTTATTTTAACAGTGAGTAGATCTGATCAAAAGAAATATTTTTTTCCTTTAACATTTTCCTGGTAAAATTAAAGTAACAAAGTTATAGCCCTTTAGAAGTTTGAGTACCGCCCTGTCTCAAATAATATTATGTGCTCGTGTTTGGCAACAACGGATATAATCCGCCTTATCGGTTCATCGCATCGGAAACAAAAAGCGAAAGAATTTGAAACGTTTATCACGATGTTTTTCGTCAGTCGGTAACGCGTGAGTGAATAGTGGTGGTTGTTGCGTGACTCAAACGAAATGAAAAATGGCACATGTTTACGAAAATGCTGAACTTGTGGACATGATTCTTATTTACGGGGGGGGGAGTCTTTACAAAATCGGTTTCCCAATCGAGTACAACTAACCCCTCGTGCCTTTGTTAATGTAGTTAAAGGGCTCGTGAATCAGGTGACTTAAGACCTCACAGAGGAGTGCATGCCGGTGCTCCAAGACCGCACGATCAAATACAGGGCCGCACTGAAATACTTGTCGGGAGGATACTTTATAAAACAAGGTAACATTTTTTTTAATTTTTTTTTTTTATTTTTACACACATATTTTGGTTTATCTTCCTTCTACAATCATTATCTGAAAATTAATGACTCAACTTCAAAGTCACCCTGTATATATAATATCACGCCTCCTGCTATATGCATATCGCACCACCTGCTACCTGATTTTCCCGCGATGAATCTAGCAACGCAGCTATAACTCGAGATTGAGAGCGCCAGTGATACAGTCATACGGTGATAAGATCAGACTGACTGAAATTAGTGACATGGCTTCTCGAGATGTACATGTCATATCTAAAAAATTCGGAAGTTTTTTTTTCACATCCAAAACAATTCCTCCGTCAGTAGGAGTGGCAAGTAAAATTTAGAAGCGATTGAATACCAAAAAGCGCTCAAAACTAATTTAGACTTCTTAATATACGGTTACGAAAACTAGAGAGGAGAGGCTGAAAGTGTCTACGATGAAGGAAAAGCGATTTTGTATATACGCAGCGCAGAAAATGAATTACAGGTTCTGCGCATGTAGCATCTCTCTCTGTTGCTGTCACCATGAAGCAGACGCTCTATGCCATGTTCTACGCGTACTAGATTTCCGAGAGCCACTACGCGTATCCCTTACGCAGTTTATACGCTTTTCGATAAAAAATTCAAGAGCCCATTCAATTTCCCAGGTTTCGGAGGTATCAACCTAAAAACACTGCACTACGAGGGCAAAACCACTATATTAACTGATTTTATGCCAATGTAGCTGATTACAGAAGCTCATGAAGTTAGGTCGCCAAGCCAATCTAATACGAAAATTGTACGTTTGAGCGCTACTCACCATCGCTTTCTCAACTCTATCCACCTCATATATCAACGATATCCATCCAAGTTGTACATTTACATTGTTCAATGTACTAATGTAACCGTGGATGGGCATGCTGGCTGGCAGATAAGGCAACTTCCAACTTCAAACTCAACTGACGGCGACTTATTTACATAGCGTTAGCGTTGGAGCAGTAAAAGGCCAATAAGAGGGACTAGTAGTTAAAGAGGCTCCAACCGTTATCGACCACCCACTTCAAGAAAGCTGGTTTTGTGACATGTGACATATCCCAAGTCAGCCATTCCGGAATTTGATGCAACTCCGTTATAGTGTTATATATCAAATAGGCTCAGAAAATATTGTTGACAAGTATCCTACACGCTTGGAAACAGCTACGTCTGAAATGACAAAGTTAGTTTGCGCTAAAACAACACCGAATACGTAAAAAAGAAACTGAAGAAAAATACTCAATTTACTTGGTACGGCATTTCAAAGTAGTA